CGAATTATATATATTCTATACAAATTATAAAGCAAAGTTTTTTATTTAATAATACAATTTTAAATTGCATCCACTTAATTAAAAACTATTTTTGTGCATGGAATTTGAACCACCTCCTGTACACCATCAGTCAACTAAATACATAGTCAAAATGAATATAGAGTCAGTGTTTTACCTGGTGTGTTGGATTACTACAAGTTTTATGTAGGGCTGCACTCAACTAATCGATAATAATCAATAATGAGAATAGTTGTCAACTATTCTCATTATCGATTAGTTGGTTGGATCCCCTAGCTCTCTTCTACGCTGGGAGGAGGGCACAGCAAGCAGTGGGCAGGTGCAATAGCCAGCCTGCTATTGGCTATTGCTATTTGAAATGGCCAATAGCAGACTGGCTATTGCAACCGCCCACTACCTGCTGTATTTTCATTCAGCTGCAATCTGCGGAATTCTGCCACCGGCAGCTGTCATTCCCCGGCTGAAGTTATTCAAGCGTCAAGTGCTTACAATACAATTATTTTTTTTAAAAGGTGGCAAAAAGTAATTTTTGGTTTCTGCCTGACATTCTGCTGCAGGAGGTGCGTTGCAGTGTCATTAATTTCAAGGGAACCACAAATGCGCCTCCCACCCACAGCGTGATCGCTCGCACCAAAACACATGGTACTGCATGGCCGTGCGTTCCAGTGCAGTGCAATTGCAAAACATTGTGCATGCAGTGTTACAAACTTTTTTTGTAACACTGCGTTTGTGTATTTTATTTTAACTTAAGGATGGTATTTTTTTTATCTGATTAATCAAAAAAATAATCAGCCAACGCATCGGTCACGAAAATGATTAGTTGCAGCCCTAGCTTTATGTACCCCCTTCCACAGAACAGTTGCAGTGTTCTGATCCAGCAGCCATGTCAGAAGTGTAGCGGGTATTATTCAATCAGTGGCTACACGCTTTAATATTTCAGCTTTATCTCTTCGGTGTTTACTTAGAGCCGAGAAATCTGACCTGATTGCTTCAAAAGCCACCGCGATTTTATCGAGAGATTCCCAGGCATTAACGTTGCCTTGCTGTATGAGAGCGGTTTCTGGAAGGAATTGTACCTCCCGAGCATCAGATTAGGACCATTCCTGTTTGCCTGGGAATGGAAGGGGAGCGGCAGAAGAAAAGACACTCTGTTCTCGCTCAGTGCCAAGCGTGCTTTAGTCTATTAGCTCAAAAAGTGGAAGTAAAGAGTAGCTCATGCCACACCGTATAAAATCTTTTATCGTAGGCAGCTGCTATGGGAATGCTCACAGGTGAATTACACCTATGGCGTTCCTTTCAATGACATGAGAGCCTGTTATCATTGACAGGTGACTGGTTTCAAGGCCTGTGTAACAAATGAAAATTGTAGGGTATTCTTTTTACAATATGGAAAGCATCGGACTACAGGAAACTGAAGGAGTAGTGGTTGCCGTGGTTTACTACATATTGCACATACTCCTTGCACCTAGTTCAGGATGAAATGACAGGGTCTCTTTAATGCCAACACCCATTATTCTAGTCTTAACAGTGCTACCCTGCCTGCTCCTTCCTCCGTCACAGCTGTCCCCAAATACCAGGCAACTGAGCTTACAGGAAGCAATGACATCGCCCCTTCCTCCTCCTCATGTAACAGCATTTGACCAAGTGATTGGCTGCTAGGCCCAAGCGCTGCATCATGGAAGCAGATTACATGTCCTCCTATACCCAGAAGCACCAGAAAAAAAAAAAAAAACATCTACAATGCATTCACAACAGTTCCACAAGAGTCCAGATATCAGTAGTAATTAGGAAGGAGGAGGGAAAAAAATGATTAAACATCAAAATACACTTTTTTCTAAAAATGTTCCCCTGCACAACTTTTATATATTTCACACAACTCCAGATATTTACCCCAAAATATCATCAATAAAGTCAGACTGAAAGGATATCATATTTACTGTTTTGTATGTATTGTAAGGAAATGCTGAGGCTCAAAGCAAATGTGTGTTTTAATTTTAGGAAGTTTTTTGTTTTCCCTTCTTGACATTACAACACAATGCACTCAGGAAAACAAAAATTCCGCTCAGATTGTTAGTGTAACATTAAAGTGACACTATACTCGGGAGTTAAATCCTAAACATGCATTCAGGTACCCTAACTATTAACAAAATGTATCTTATGTGTGTATCACTCGGCTGTAGATCCTCAAATCCTCTCTGAATTGGTGCTGACATTGTCCTTCCTTCTGGAGGAGGGCTACTTTTTTCCCCCATGGTCCCTGTGTGTGTTGCAAAGTATCCACCGATCCAAGCTCACTCCCATTTTATTTTCACTCCTAGACCTAAATGAGCACTTAACCCTTGCAGTGTGGAGATAGTCCCACTGCAAGGGTTAATTTCTCCAAAACCTGGATTTGTTCTACTACAATACAGAAAAGTCAAGTCACTTGTCTGTCTGGTAGAGCTGTGTATTTCCCAGGACTGGATGGACAGAAATACAAATCCTTTGGCATGTAAAACAGATCCTGTTTATGTATTTTGCCTTTCATTCATCTTTAATACAGAATGCTGTAACGGTGTCTAGAGCAGGGGCAGGCAACCCACTCCAGCTGTGGTGGAATTACAAATCCCATCATGCTTCTGCCTCTGGGAGTCATGCCTGTGGCTTTCAGTCTTGCAATGCCTCATGAGACTTGTAGTTTCACAACTGCTGGAGAGCTGAGGTAGCCTACCCCTGGTCTAGAGCCTTGGTTCTTAACCGGTGGGTCGCGACCCCGTCTTCAGTGGGTCACCATATGCCTTCTTCTTTTCTAGGTGAGAGGCTCCTCTGCCTCTCCCTTGCACTGTCATTTCTTGCGCCGAGCAGCCATTCAAAATATGTTGCCCGATGTTGAGTGTCAGCTTGTGGTGGGCTAGGGCTATGGCCGCGAGGGAGCTCCATCCAAATGTGGATTGCTTACAGCTCCCTATCATGTCCCGTAGAAGTGCCTGGAGCAGAGTGATGTCACATTCTGGCTCCTGGCACCTCTACAGTGTGTGGAAGGGAGCTGTACAAGTGGATGCACATATGGATGGAGCTCCGTCATAACACAGGCTGAGGATCCACTCCAATTCTCGTAAGATAGGAGACTGGGTGGATTAAAAAAAACATTTTTTGGAGTGTGTATGTGTGAGAATGTCTGTGAGTGTGTGAGCTTTTGGTTGCGTGTGCCTGCCAGTGTTTTTGATGGTCTATTTATACTAGTACAGTGCGTTAATCGCACAGTCCCATTCGATTAACATACTGCACCACGCGATCCCACCTACCGCACGTTCTGGTGGGGGAGGTGCAGTGAATTTCCATTAATTTAAATGACACCCCAAATGCATCTCCCACCCACCGTTCTATCGCCCACATTGGAACGTGCGGTAACGCAATGCCGTGCGTTCTATGGCAGTGAAACTTCGGTCGCGACTTAATTACCAAGGACAAATGTGGGTCCTGAGGTTACACAGGTTGAGAACCACTGGTCTGGAGGACAGAAATATAAACCTATATGGCAATAAGCTGGGATACGCGGTGTAACCAAGATTTTCGCCTTAATCTGGCAGATAAGCTTCTGTGCCTCTCTCTTTTTTTATTTTTCACTCATAAGTTTGCGTTGAATACACCATCAGCGCGTCCCTTATTACACGGAGCCTGCGTCATAAATATAAAAGCCCCTTCCAGCCATGATTGATCAGGTCACTTAGCTGGAGGTCAGAAACAGGCTAACAGCACCCTTTGCTTCTCGCTGGAACTGTTTCCCGATCACATAATCCTCCCACTCACATCATGGCAGACTTACTAAATGAATTTCACTTTGGGGAACTCGTAAATCTCCGATCCAGCACAAAGAATCCCACAAAATAAACCATTATATGCAGAATTTATTAAGTGTTTAAATACTCACATTAGCCCGAGAAACAATTTCCCCCCGACCAAAAAAAAGCAAATGACAAAAGTGTTCTCTAGAGAAAATCTCGTTTTATTGGCGGCGTATTGAAACCGTGCCTTTCCCTGACAAAAGCCAGCGATTTACCTACTTAATATGTTTAGTATAATCAGCCTGATGAGTGATGGCAGTTGTCAGTGCCGTTAGAAAACTCATTTTGAAATCAGCATGAAGTACTCAACAGCTCACCATTCAAAGGCTTTCAGTCAAGTAGCAGAGCTGCCGGGAAGTGTAATTATAGGACGATATAATTGGCTGGCCTTAATTTCTTCCTGAGCAAATACTTGTGAGTGGAAATTAAACCTCGGTTTAATGGTACACACAACTGTTAATCTTCTCCTGCGCTGCTGTGCTATGCAGGTTGGGGTTTTATGGCCGGTGCAGGGTATATGCAAGCTTTGTTTTGTGTTCAGCACACAAAGTAAACACATTTAGCGCTATAGTTTTATATA